ATAATGTGCGAAATGTTGATTTTTATTATGTCGATAAAATTTAACAATATTAATTCACCTAACATTTAAACAGCCTAATAATTCTAAGTTGAACAGCTCAGTATTAGAATTAATAAAAACGGCGAGTAATTCACAAAATTTGGCTAATATGGAAGTGTGTATTTTTTTTTTTTTTTTTTTAAATGTTAATTACCAGAGAATTTAACTGATCATGTTTATTTATTATTATCAAAGGTTAATTGGATGCAATGGTTGTAAATTTTTCATTTCATAAAATATGTAATTTTATTTTGTTAGCAAGCATATTTGCGATGATAATTAACAGTGTAAATAGAATAATCAAATCGGAAACCTTGTTTTTTTTATATATACAATATAATACATAAAATACGTACATACGTACATGGTTGAGTAATACGATGATGATCTATTTATAAAAATGGAAAGGAACAAGAATGTTTTCAGAACGAATCGACTACAATGCGAGTATGTACTACATCTAAGATCTCATACTTGTGTGGGACAAATTAAAATGTCAACTTTATTTAGTAAGATTAGCGACAATATGATCTGTTGTTAGTAATCGACGAATTGAATGAACCCTGTTTACTAGTTTGTGGCTTTCAACTTGAATCATAAAACGCGGCTAAGAATCTTCGAAATAAAACGCGCAAATCAAAAGCGAAAATCCAATTATAATAAGCCACAATTCGAGATCATTTTTAAAAACCAAGGTTTTCGAAATAATTAAAAGGTAATAAAAGTATTAAATACTCATTGGAAGTAATCATCACTGTAAAGAAGTTTGGAATAAACTGTGATTATTTATTATTGATATATATTTGTAGTTTTAAATTTTGAGAAAATAAAAAAACTTTTCATATCACAATAAAGTTGTCTTGATATGTCTTGTATGAATAATTGATGTCACACTGCCGCAAATCTTCAGTTTTCATGCCTCTTTCTCTCCTTTCAACTTTACCCGCGCTGTCTGCAGGATAACCATTGTACACTTTTATATGTTCACATCGCCACTTCCATTATCGGTATTAAAGAATGACGTCAATAAGCGAGGCGTTTTGTTTTCATCTCGCACAAAAACCCAATTTTCACTGGCCGAAAACATCCTCGCTTTTGTCAAACATGCTGCAACAAAAAATTTGTCATTTCCCCCTCATTCCCCCTCTGACATATAAAAGTTGTCTATCTTTACTTTTAAAATCTATTATTTCTTCCATTTCAATATCTTTGAATATAAATAAAAAAACTCGTAACCAACCTATTTTGGATAAAGTTTTGGTCTTTTTATTATATTCATGTCTTCTCTAATAAGTACTAGCGATAGTGAAAATTCCCTCCCTTCAGTCAGAGGTCACTTAGGTTTGTTGAAATGTAAATGGGATGATTGCTCTTCAAGCTTTACGCTTTTAAACGACTTAGTAAACCATTTGCACGAAGGTAGCCTATAAATACTCCTATGATACACCTGGTTACCAACAAGTTTCCCCGATATAGAAGGAACTGTTGAACTAGTGTGACCACTTTTCCTTACTTTACAATTTTATCTTCTCCGCGTTTCCTTTCTAAATTATCCTTTTTTATTTAGACCACGTAGGTCGTAAAAAGGCAAATTATACCTGTGAGTGGGATAGTTGTCCGAGAAAAGGTGCTACTCAAACCTCACGGTTTGCTTTGATCACTCACTTAAGGAGCCATACTGGTGAGAAGCCGTAC